TTTTTTTTTCAAACGACAAGTAAAATATTATAACCTCAAAGAAGTACAAATCGAGCAGCCAAATGGTTGCTTAGTTCCACAGGGATCATGCAACGGACCCCTTAATACAAGACTTGAGAAAAGCCTACCACAATACCAAGACTCGAATATTTTGTTTGGCTTAAAATATAAAATTACTACGTTTTTGTTGAAATCTTTTCAAATTGAAATGGTGGTGGACCAAAAAATAAAACTATTATGGGCTTTTTTTGACTGCTGAAATTATTGGGATTATTGCTTTACTGGGCCTTAATATTATCTGAATAGTTTAAAAAGACGCTAGCAGTCTAATCTCTCCCATTGCATTATTGGGCCTTAATGTCATCTACATTGTTTAAAAATTTGTTTTTAAATTAACTAGTACAACACCCGTGTATTACACGGGTGCTTGTTAAAAAATTATTTTTAAATTTTTAAATTAATGAGAAAACTATATTAAATTTAGTTTACTTTTTTACAAAAAAAAAATATATTACTATATTATTCTAGAATGATATGTGTTACTTATGACTTACATGTGTTATATAATATTAGTTTTTATAACTTATATCATATAACTACTTGAAATATAAATATATTAGTTGATAAATAATATTATTTTTCTAATTAATATTAAAAATAATTTTATTATTGTTATAAAGATAAATATAAATTATTTTTTTTATACATACAATATGGATGTTAAATCGAAATTCATCAAAAGAAGATTAATTTGATATATTACATATGTAAAACTGATAAAAAATACAAAAGTTATTAACTTTTAATATATATATATATATATATATTAAAATATAATTAATACATGTAACATGACCATAAATAATCAACATATTTATGGTAATCCGAACCTAATTATTTTTTGTTTGGAATTAAATTAAAATTTATCCAAGTCTAATAACGAAGCATGTAATTTTGCCACATAGGATTCCGAAGCACCAGAAGCAGCCACGTAGGCTCAGCGCGTTCTGGATTAATATATGAGGGGATGGTCACCATTGCACCTGATTCGCATTCAGAATCTCTTCCATTACAAATTTATAATCACATTTTTCTTTTAATGAAAACAATATTATTAATATTATAATATCATGGTAGCTAAAATAATTAGACTATTCACTATTCTTTATTTATTTTTTTTATTTATATAGAAAAATATTATTATATACTATTAAATTAATAATGATAATATATACAATTGAATATTATACATATAAAATAACTAAAAAGATATATATTAAATTAAAACGATTCAATCTGTATCCGACCAGTGAACTATTGAAACCGATAGTTTCACATTAAAAATAGTGAAATGCTGAACTTACTCATGTGGATTCCAGATAGACCTTTCTGATGAGCAACACACACTAGTTGTCCACACGGCCCCACATGTGGGCCCCATCTCCATTATTCCACCTAATATCCCTTTTTTTATTATTATTTTTTGTTTCCTTTTTATCATTCTCCAATCACTACTGTTCCCCTTTTGATCGCACGAATCAAATCAGCACCTTGCATTTCACGGCGGCCAAATCCCCCAAAATTCCACCCTCAAAAGTCTAGGGTTTCGCATCTGTTTTGGCGCTCGATCTCTTCCTCAAGCTCAAGGTGCGGCATGTCGATTCACGGTATTGATTGGTCAGATCATTTTTCGATTGCTTTGTGACTTTTATGTACCTGATTTCCAGTTTGATTCGAATTGGGTTCTGAGAGAGCTGATCGGAATTCGATCGAATTTGGCTAGTATTGTGCATTTATGTGAAGTTGGATTTGATGATTGCTTGTTCTCGATCTTGATGTGAACGAAGTTCCGGGGTGATTTTCAATCGATATAGAGCATAGGCGATTATTTAGGTTTTAGTAGGAGATGGATTCGGAAAATAAGAGTCCGGGTCGTGCTCCGGCAGAGGATAATGAAGAGACCAAAAAGTCGGAAACTTTTGCCGAATCCAAGGTCGGCGAAAATGGTTCTTTGGGAGATAGTCACGGTGGTGATTTACATTTACTCCCTGATGTTAATGGAAAGGACACTGAACCATCGTTTCCAGTAGGTTCAACTTCTCGCGAGACGAAACCAAAGAAAGGGTACGGATTGAAGAAATGGAGAAGGATCAAGAGGGATGTCACTAGAGGCAGGGACAGTAGCCCAGAAACTGGGAAAATGATGATGCACGAGGTGTCGAACTTAGTTTCGAATCCAAGCAAGCGAACTCAAGTTTATGCTGAGAGGCAGCAAAAGTCTGAAGGCTCTGTTTCATCCCCGAATCCCGCGGTTCGTAATTTTGGTGCTTTTGTGGGGGCTTCGGTTGATAGTGTTGGGGTGGATTCTGAGAATGGTGAGGATCACAGCAGCATATCATCGACTGCAGCCAGTTTTCCAAACATGAAATACGATATGCCGCCTGTTTTGGGATTTTCTCAAGATAAGGACAAAATGGGGAGTCTAGGAGGTAATGGTCCGAGTCACTACTCTGGGCAACGTGGGCAGAAGGGGATGGGCCAGGCCGAGGCTCCCAAGAACGCCAGAGGAGAGCGGGCGAAAATCGATAAGGAAAACTCGCGATCAAGCGTGGAGTCCGATTTGCGTAGCTCGAATTTTGTTGTGTTTGCTCAGGCAAATCACGTGATAAGTAATGGAGTACGAGGTGAAAATGGTCATGAGATTCAGGATGGTGATGGGCCATTTGGTAATGAAGGAGGTTATGAACCTTTGTCTCGGGACGCTGAAAAGGGAAGAGGTGAGAATCACGGTTCCTCGTCCGATCAGGATCCTCTGCTTGAGTCTATGTGTCAACTGCAGAAGGCACAGGAGGCACTAGAAGAAGGTTGGTCCCACATTTTCTTTTTTCTCTTCTTTGCCTTGGTTTTATTGTTGCTTATTGATATGTATACACTTGCTTTGTTTGTAAATACGAGGTTCTGTATTTCCCTTATAATAAGTTTTCGGTAGGCACACCCAGTAGAGGTATGCGGGGGTAAGTTTTTCTTGTTTGTGAATTGTTAATTAACCAACTTTAATCTGTAATAGCATGCAGCTGAAATCTGTAGCTTTCTGCGATAAATGACTTTATGTGTTGGTTGTTATGCATACCAAAGTATCGTTAGTCTTACCAGTTTTTGCTGAAAATGTGAAGATGTATAATTGTGTCGTTTTATATAATGAATATTGAGTACAGAAACTGTAGAAACACCTAATTTTGAGGTCAACACGTAACATTTAATCTCATGTAGAAGAGTTACAGGATACTGTATCTCTGATGTTGTGTATTTTGTGATAGTAAGATACCAAATTTGAAAATGTGTTTAACTGAATTGATCTATAGAACAGATAACAAGCCACTTTAACAAGTGCTGATGACCATAAACTGAAAACTTCCTGCTTCTAATTGTATATCAATGACCCTATACGTACTATTTAACCATATTCAAAACGAACAAGGGCTGCTGAAATAAGAGCCTTGCCCTACCCTTTACTCTTGCACTAAATAACTCGAACTTAAATGACTTGATCAAATTAATGAAATAGCGTACAATTATGCACATATAGTTTCCAATATAATAACTTCAGGAACCGCTATTGGACAATTAGTTATTCTTCGATGTGATGTTACTTTTCCATTTGAGGCAAGTAATGTTTCATGCAATTAGCCTTTCTCCATTTCCTTCTTTTATGTCACTGTGGCTAACGAACCGTGACACATGTGTCCAGAGGTGCTAAAGTTCAAGGAAATAGGCAAAGATGACGTTCACCCAGATCTGGAAAACGATAGCTATGAGCAGTTCACATGTAGCGAAGCTGTACTGGATTTTTCTCCAGAAATAGCAAAAGGAGATCTTGAAACAGAACTCGAGGACCTATTTAAGCAAAAGATTGAAGCTGAAGTCGAGTACTTGACAATATCAAGAACAATTCAAAAGCTGAGGATTTGTGCCGTGGATCAAAATATTGTTCCAGTAGACCAAAAGTTACCTGCCTCAGAGATGACTGAAAACAAGCTTGGAGATTTTTCTGAAGACATTGCAAGCATTGACCGAACAGTGAAGCTACAGAAAAAGGTGTGTAAGTACACGACGTGCTTTCTCGTGCAGTTATCATCGCTGTTTGTTATCATTGGAGTCTTTATGTACAAGTTGTCGCCAAATTATTCGGAGGTTGTTCCGACTTAATTTTGAGAAGATTTTTTTTTT